GGGCGTTATGACATCTTTCAGTACCAGACAACAAACACCACCCACCCTGGCTACCGTCTGATTGGACAGTGGACAGATGAACTGCAGCTCAATGTGAGTTCTACTCACCCCTTTCTTCCCTTTTGTGACGGATAAACAGATTTTTAATTTGTTCAGTGAGAAAAATGTTTCTCGTTTGCATGTTTTTGTGTGTGCACAAGTGAACCTGCAACTTGTTACAGGCATCAACAGAAACTGATTTGCAGTCATAACATAACAACGATGGTGAAGATGATGAAGATGGTGATGATAGGAAATGTGCACTGAGTTTTATGCATTATATTCATTTAATCTGAGGCTCAGAAAACAAGTCATCAGCTAACTCTTTATCAAGATCATCCTCTTGGTCAGACTTTTATTTCTTTTTCCTCTGTCCTTCTTTGTTTGGTGGTCATTTTTTTTTTTAAATTTAATGCATTTTAGTGAGTCACTTTGGTTTATACTGAGATTATCTGAGTAATTGCAGTGCTGGTCATTTCTATAATCTCTTTGTATAAAATATGAACTTAAGTAAGCAGACACTTCCTTGTACAAGATTATGTCTGAGTCTGCTAGCTCATATCCCAGCTTGAAGACAGTCAGGCAGAGAAAGAGAGAGAGAGAGAAAACCCTCTTACTCAGCCTTTTTATTCTATGCCAGCCTTGAAAAGATTGGATGAGACTCACCCACATGGGGGAGAACAATCTGCTTTTCTTAGCTACTGATTAAAATGTTAATCTCATCTGGAAACATCTTCACAGACACACCCAGAATCTTTCACCAAATATCTGGGCACCCCATGGTCCAGTCAAGTAGAACATAAAATTAACCATTACAGTTCCTGTCCCAGAAGATTTCTTATCTCTTCCAAAGCTGGAAATTATGCCATTAGGCTTTGTCAATCTATACCTTAGGAAGTACTCTGGGAATTAATGAAAACAAGACTTCTTGGGGAGTGTAGGTTTACATCATTGTTTCTAAGAAGAGAGAATTGTACTTACAGAGAGGGTGAAGCCACCACAGGCCAATGACCTCATCTGCACATTGCCATAGCCTGATATGCTTATACCTGTCAAGTTCTCCCTCTCCTGAGGTCCACCATCCAAATAAGCTGACACTCAGATGAGTCTACAGGGTTCATGATCTCATCCAGGAATGAATGGAGCCAGGCAGCAACTACCACCCATGGCTGAAATGAATGCAAAGGGCCAAAACCAAAAAAGAAGCTTAAAATTATTCTGAATCCAAGGCACACTAAACTTGCAAATAAAAAGAGAAAATAAAAACAAAACAAATAAACAAACAAAAACCCAAAAGGTAAGCCCAAAAGGTAATGATAAAAAGCAGAATCAAAGCAGTATGACCTGGCTTATATAGCCCAGAGTGTGTTTTTATTGAGTGCTGCCTGTGTGATACAAGACAGGTAAGCCAGGACTAAAGGGAGAGAGTTAAGGTCTGTGGTATCTATGGGAAGTGCTCAGGGATTACTGAAGACCAGTAGATTAAACTAGCTCATCAGTCTTCTCTAGCACACCCCCCTGCACCAGAGTTAAATTTCTGACATGTGTCATTTGTCCATGTACAAAAGCGTCCCCCACTGGCATTTACCAACTTCAGATATTACCCAGGAGTTCTTAAGCACACTATTTTTAAGAATTAACATCAACCCTGCTTTTATTTTTCTTTGGCTTGTATTTTAATCCTTCATGAGAATTGGATTTGACTGGCCATTCAACAAATTTTTGTTGTTGTTTTATTTTGTTTTTAAAACACCTATCATGTTATAAGCACTGTGGGAAGCAATGGAGATCAAACAAAGGTGGTCCCTGTTCTTGCCTAATTGACCATCTAGGATGGAGTTACATGGTACTTAAGTAAACAGATATGGATATGGAAATTCCAAAGAATGATGAGAGAGAGGGTAAGAGAGAGAATAAAGGAGGCAGAGAGGGCGGGACCTACTGGATGAGAAGCCAGCAATGTGAAAAGGGCAGAAGACTGGGCATGTGGCTTAGGGGTGGGGTGATCAGTAAGGGAGAGGGAGGAGGGGCAGGAGGAGATGTTAGAGCAGTAGGTCAGTAGGTAAGAAGCAGATTCATACAGTCTCTTGTATTCCATGACAAAATTTTTAAATTTTATTCTGAATGTATTTAAAAGCCATTAAGAGATATTAAACAAGGGAGTGAGGGAGTGACTGCACCAAATTTAGGGATAAAAATTACTTTTGCTGCTGGGAGATAGTAAATTGGAGAGTCACGAGTGGGAGCAGAAAGACCCATGAAGAGCAGTGATAGTGGAGATGCGGCCAAACAAATGGAGTCTGAACCTAGTGTGGGGAGTTGTGCGGTGATGGAGACACACAAGTTGAGAGGACGAAGGTTTCTGGGAAAGGGAGGGGGACATCAAGGATCCCAATTTAAGGATGCACTTCTTAGATATGTGAGACTTAAAATATACAAGGGCCAAAATGAAATGATGGAAGTCTGAAGCTCAGACAAGAGTTGTAGTTGTGAAACAATGTAAGTTGTTATTCTATAGATGGCCTTTAAATGCATTAGGAAGAGAGAAAAGAGAATTAACAGAGGGCTCAAGGCCTCGAAAACCCCATAGAAAAGGATGCAGCTCCATTCCCACTACTCCAAATAGCACACAGTTTAAAGTATGCATTCGGCTTAATTTGCCTGAGAGTTGGACCAACCATATAATTTGGATTTGGGTTGCGGGGGTTATGGAAGCTAGATCAGGGGTGTATGCTTGGCTTGACATTAAGTGGGGACATTTGTGATTCTACTTTGTCATGCTGAGAGTGGTGTGTTAGGAAAGGCGGACAGGACACCTGAATCAGGTGGATGCAGAAGTTCACACTTGGTATTACGTGCAACCTGAAGGAATAAATGACTGAGCCTTGAGAGACTGGGTTAATTCAAGTAGTGTGGCCACTGAGATAGCTGGTCTTGACAAGAGGCCATCCTGTTGACACCTTTTATTGTTAAAATGAATTTGAATAATGTTCCTGGGATGTGGGAGGGGAGGAAAGGAAAGTAGAGGTGACAAGTACAGTACCCAGTGGGCAACCACCCCTTTCACCTGGAAACACAGAGCCACAGGTGTCCTATCCAATGGTTGGTATCCTGTCTAACATCATCCTGCCATGACGTTCCTTTTACTATAATTATTATCATTCCGTTAATATCATATTATCATATATATAATATCATATATAATATCATATATTATCATGTATTATCATATAATATCATATTATCATTCCACTGTCTGCGACAGTGGAATTTGGGCAAATAGTTTTGTAGGTTTGCTTTCGTCTAGTCAACAGAACAAAGCAAAGCATTTCAAGTAAAGAGTATACTTCTCCTTATTTATAAAGACTCAGGGATAGTCTTTCAATCCCCAGTTACATCTTCTCTAGCAAATGAAATTTTCAGGAGAGCTGTCTCTGTGGTCAGTAATTGCAAATAAGTTTCTGAGCCAAGAAATCAGAGTTTTAGGTTCTCGGAATCCCAGTTATGTAAGTCAGACTGTTCTGCCACTCAATATGCAATCCTGTGGAACTTAGGTGTCTAGCAGGGTGCTGTATGCTATGAAACGTCTCATGTACCCTCACTATCAGCATGGTAGCACTGGTCCTTGTCTTCTCTGTGGCCAAAGAGATGACTGCATGGTTTGCTACCACAATATTTCTACATGAACAAGAATTTTGTGGAAGAGAATCACAACTAGAAAAGACATTTACTTTCCCAATTGTAACCTCTACAGCAATAACCATAATTTAATTTATTAGATTTCTATTCTATCTAGAGATTTCATGAAACATTCTTCCTGGGGGAAAGCAGAAGAAGGGACAATGCAACAAATATACGTTGCTCATCAGCAGTGCATCAGGCGGGATGATGGCTCATGGAGATGCTAGGATACATGCAGGGCAGATCCAATCACTCTGAGTTCACATACTAGGGTGACGGCTCTGTAATAGACATATTGAATATTAGGGCTGCAGATAAGCACTGCTTCAGGGAATGCTACCAAAAACTTATATTTGAACTGGATCTTGAAAGATAAATAGTAGTTCCCTAGATGGACTAGAAAAAAAAATACCTTAGAATGAATAATGCAATAATATTTAAAAATTAGGGTAGGAGAATACGTTGGAAAAAAGGCAAGAAATAGAATGTAGGTGCTTAAAAAATTCTAAATTTATGTTGTAAGTAAACTCTATTTACATGATTGGTAATAGAAACTATGGTGATTTTTTTGTTGTTGTCATCTTTCATTTAACTGGAATTAGTAGGAAACTCAGATATGCCAAAAATGTTAATTTTTAAATAACTGAAATTCTCTAAAATGTTAAAGTTTACACACACAAAAAAAGCCATCCATAAACGGCAGCTTCCTGCAGTGAATTGCACCCATTTAAATAGAAGACTGAATGCACATGACTTCACTCTTTCTGGATGACTCCAGTTCTTACAAACTTCGGTTGTCTGCCGTTCTGTAGGACAGATCAACTTTGTGATCTTCTGTGGTTTGTGAGGCTTATTAGCTTTTTCTGTGATTTCTTCCCTGTTGAAGTTACACTTCGCACCTAGAGACTAAAAGCTCCTTCAAGGTAAAATTCATGTTTTAGTCATTGTTTTGGATGCCTAAGAACACAGCACCTCACACACAGTAGGCCTTGGGGATTTTTGTAGTTGTTGTTTTTGTTAATGTATAGTACTGTGTATAATGAACGGGTACTCTTTTTAATGATATTACCTGCAGCCGTCAACCACTTTTTCTCCCTCTGGGATGAACACCTAGAGTTGCCTTTTCCTTTTTAGCCTTGTGATTTTCCCTGAATGGTTCCCAGGGAAGGCAAATGATTCTGTCTAAGCCAATCACTGTGGCCGTAGTGTTAGGCGGGGACCCATACTAACTAAGCCTGCCCAATCGGGATGAGCCACTGGATGCTGCCAGCCATTCTAGGACCCCAACATGCTCTTCTTGGAAGGTGCTGCATCCTCGGGAGCACACCTTATAGGACTCCAGGGAAAAGAAGTCAAAACTTAGAGAAACTGAT